AAGTATAATCTTCCAACACTGAAGGAGGAAGAAACAGAAAGCTTGAACAGACCGATAACAGTTGGGGAAATTGAAGCAGTCATCAAGAAACTCCTGGCACACCAAAGCCCAGGGCCGGATGGTTTCCCAGGAGAATTATACAAAAAATTTAAGGAAGAGCTAACCCCTGTCCTTCTCAGACTATTCCAAAAAATCCAAGAGGAGGGAAGACTCCCAGACTCCTTCTAAGAGGCCAGCATCACCCTGATCCCAAAACCAGATAAAGACCCTACAAAGAAAGAAAACTACAGGCCAATTTCGCTGATGAACATAGATGCTAAAATCCTCAACAAAATATTGACAAACCACATCCAGCAATACATTCAAAAGATTATCCACCACGATCAAGTGGGATTCATCCCAGGGATGCAGGGGTGGTTCAATATACGCAAATCAGTAAACGTGATACATCGCATAAACAAAAGAAAAGACAAAAACCACATGATCATCTCGATAGATGCAGAAAAAGCATTCGAATAAGGTGCAGCACACATTTATGATCAAAACACTCAGCAAAATGGGAATCAATGGGGCATTCCTCAACATAGTAAAGGCCATACATGAAAAACCTACAGCCAATATCATACTCAACGGGCAAAAACTGAAAGCTTTCCCAGTAAGATCGGGAACAAGACAAGGATGTCCGCTCTCACCACTTCTTTTCAACATCGTATTGGAAGTCCTAGCCACAGTGTCAGACAAGAGAAAGAGATAAAAGACATCCAAAAAGGAAAGGAGGAAGTAAAGCTATCATTGTTTGCAGATGACATGATAGTGTACATAGACCACCCTGTAGACTCTACCAAAAAACTCCTCAACCTAATAAGTGCATTTGGCAAAACAGCAGGATACAAAGTCAACATTCAGAAATCAAAGGCATTTTTGTACACCAGCAATGCAACAGAAGAAGAAGAAATCAGAGAAAAAATACCATTCAATATAGCAAGGAGAAAAATAAAGTACCTAGGCATAAATTTAACCAAAGACGTAAAAGACCTGCACGCAGAAAACTATACAACATTGAAAAAGAAATTAAGGAAGACACAAATACATGGAAGTATATACCATGCTCATGGATTGGAAGAATTAATATCATCAAAATGTCCCTACTACCCAAAGCAATTTATAGATTCAACGCAATCCGTATTAAGATACCAATGACGTACTTCTCAGAAACAGAACAGACATTTCAAAAATTTATATGGAACCATAAAAGACCCCGAGTAGCCGCAGCAATTTTGAGAAAGAAAAACAAAGTAAGAGGGATCACAATACCAGACATCAAACTCTACTACAAAGCCACTATACTCAAAACAATCCGGTACTGGCACAAGAACAGACCCATAGACCAGTGGAACAGAATAGAAAGCCCAGAAATAAGCCCAGGTCTCTATGGGAATCTAGTATTTGACAAAGGGGGCACAATCCTAAAATGGAGCAATAATAGCCTCTTCAACAAATGGTGTTGGGAGAGCTGGACGGCTACAAGCAAAAAATTGAAATTGGATCATCAGCTGACACCATACACAAAAATAAACTCAAGATGGATAAAAGACTTAAATATAAGTCGCAACACCATCAAAGTCCTAGAGGAGAACATTGGCATGAAACTCTCAGATATCCCACGCAGCATTTTTTCACTGATATGTCTCCTAAAGCAAGGGACGTAAAGGAAATAATAAACAAGTGGCACCTCATCAAAATAAGAAGCTTCTGCACGGCAAAAGAAAACATCAGCAAACTGAAAAGGGAGCCAACCATATGGGAAAATATATTCGCTAATGATACATCAGATAGAGGTTTGATCTCCAAAATATATAAAGAACTCACTGGACTCCACTCCAAGAAGACAAATGATCCAATCAAAAAATGGGCAAAGGTCCTGGGCAGACGCTTTTCCAAGGAGGAGTACAGAGGGCCCAGAGGCATTTGAAAGGATGCTCAGCATCACTAGCCATCAGAGAAATGCAGATCAAAACCACCATGAGGTACCACCTCACACCAGTCAGAATGGCCATCATAAACAGATCAACAAACAACAGGTGCTGGCGAGGCTGTGGAGAAAAGGGAATACTAGTTGGTGGGAATGCAGACTGGTGCAGCCACTATGGAAAGCAGTGTGGAATTTCCTCAAAAAGCTGAGAATGGAACTGCCTTTTGATCCAGTGATTCCCCTGCTGGGACTATACCCTAAGAACACCAAAACGCCAATACAATAGAATCTATGCACCCCAATGTTCATAGCAGCACAATTTACAATAGCCAAGTGTTGGAAGCAACCTAAATGCTCATCAGTAGATGCTTGGATCAAAAAATTATGGTATATATACACAGTGGAATACTACGCAGCAAAAAGAAAAAAAGAACTACTAAACTCGCAACAGCATGGATGGAACTGGAGAGCATCATGCTAAGCGAAATAAGCTAGGGGGCAAAAGAGAAATATCATATGATCTCACGTATAAGTGGAACCTAACCAACAATACAAAGATGCAAGGAAAATAAGACCAGCAACACTGAAAGGAAAAGAAATCAACAGAGACAAGAGGGAAGTAGGGAGGGGGTGGCAGGGAAAGGGAAGGGAAAAGGAACGTCAAGGAACATATAGCAGGGACTCATGGACAAAAACCAAAGGGGAAGATCTGAGGGAGGGAAGGAGGGAGAGGGCAAGGGAAAGTGGTGGGGGCTAGGCAGAGACAAATGCATTTGAAAAAATAAATAAATTTAAAAAAATAAAAGGAAAACATAATTGTTATATTTACTTATATTTTTTGTTATAATAAACTGAATCACTATGGATTTGAGGACTCGTTTCAGAAGAAATAGAAATGTGGTTCAAAAAGACATTAACAAAGGGTATGACTAAATGGCTATAGTTCTGGAAAGAGAAGACTAAATGACAGAGTAACAACGGAATTAATGCTGGGATGGATTGGTCTTATAATTCTTACAAATGATTTACAAGAACAAATTCAGGAACATCTCCAAATCCATTGACTGCATTCAGCTCTGCTGACAGTCATAAATTCAAAAGATGGAAGGGTGTGAGGGTTAGATGCTGAGTTTCAACTTAGGCAAACATATGATAGTAAGAAAATAATTCAGAATGTATTAAGGATGCCAGGCTCCATACTATCAATTACAACACAGATACAAAGATGAGCCACTGGAATGTACTTCCTAAAAACAGTCAACTAAATATTGTAAAAATCAATCAAATCCTGGACACAGACAGGAAAGCTAGCAAAAGTCACTGTCCTATGCTCATTTAAACTGTGGTACATCATCTAGTGCAGTTTGCAATGTGTACACTGGAGCTCCAGGAAGACACAGTAGAATAGGAGACCCTGAAAAGCAACTAAAATAATCCAGGGGGCAAGGCTGAGATTTAGGAGAACAAGATGCTGAGATTTAAATCAGGACTTGGCAAACAACTGTCCATGGACCAAATCCAGTTGGTCGCCTACTTTCATAAATGAAGTTTTTCTGGAACACAGCTGCACAGGTGCATTTATAAGTTGTTTGTGGTAGTCTTTGCATTACAACAGTGGATTTGAGTAGTTGTGACAGAGACCATCTACTTCAAGAAGCCTAAAGTATTTGCTATCTAGCCTTTACAAAATAATTTTGTTCAGCCCTCATCTAAATCATAAATGAAGAAATCACAAACAACTGAAAGTTTGGAAATGAAAATAAGAAAACAGAAAACTGGGTCCCAGAAAAAAAACCTTCAAAACAGGTTTAGATCCATTCATGAATGACCCTTAAGTTGTGTAGGAAGACAGATATTTGAGAGGAAGAAACATGGTTTCTGGAGAGAAATAAGTAAGGATCAAATATGCCTATCCTCTTAGACAATTATGTCTCTGTCCTCTAGTGCCACTCTCAGAGGCAGGAGACTACTTGGACTGGAAGAAGTGTGGGCCTGACTTCCTGGCCCAGTGCTATTCCTCCAGAGAGTGCAGATGAACCTCCTTTGACAATCAGCTGAAGATGGCCCACAGCTCACGCTGATGTACTGAAAATTTTCCATCTTTTTCTAGAGGTCAATGTAATAAATTTTTTTGGAGTTACCACCACCTCCAAATAGGACATAACACACACACACACACACACAGACACACACACACACACACACACAGACACAGACACACACACACACACACACACACACACCCACCCCCCCCCCCAAGAATAGTGGCCAACTTGAAGTCAGGAAAAAAAAGAAGTTGTTTAACATCCATAACATGTCCACCTCGCATTCTAAGGCTTCTATTATTTTCCTGGCAGGAGAATGACCTCACTGACAAACTGGTACATGTATTTATTTCTCTGTCTCGGAGGTCAAGCCTGGACTGAGGGACACTATACTTTATGCCTGGCTTCTCTACTCTTGGGAGTAGAACTGGGAGACAAACACAAGACGCAAGCCCATGGCACAGAGGAGCTACTGGTGGCTGTTTGAGAACATCTGAAAGAAGAAAAGGCTTTCCACTCATAGATAAATATTGTATACAAATTGTGTCGATCACTTCAAGTCAGAAAAAAAGTGTGGCTATCCTTGCTCAAAGGATTCCTTGTGTTACAAAAACCATGCTCTATGTATCTCTGTGCCAGTGACAACTAGATTTAGCAAAATGTTAATATTCCTGGAGATTAATAAAGTTAATTACAGGGGCTGGCTAACAAGAATATTTAACTATAATTCTATATCTATTATATTTTTATACAGTTATCTGGCTAACCAACTCTTACTGGGTTTTCACCGTATTTTATTATTCAGGTAAAATCTACAAAAATAAAAAATATTGATGGAGAGCCCATTACAACCTCTATTCCATTTAGCATCACTCCATGCAATGTGGATTAAGTGTGCTTTAAAATACACTTCAACAAACTAATGTGGTAAAAGTGTAACATTTTTCCAGGTCCCCCAAGATATCTTAGTCACTGCTTCTTACCTTTGATGGAGGGTTTGGCAATGAAGCTGAAGGTTCTGGAAGCCTACAGAGTAAAAAAATAAAAATTACAGTCACAGTTTTTCCATACATAAGCAAACAGAAAGGCTGGGCCAACTTAAGACTCAGTAAGCCCTACTTTTTCCTGACAGCTTTAATCATCTCAGTGTAAATAATAAAATTTAACTAAATGAATAAATCTTCATTTCACTACTTAATAGCTTGTATTGGAATTGTGTGAACTAAAAAACAAAATTAAAACTCATTTGTTGAAATTGAATTGCTTTTCTTTAGCCTCTATAAATGTGTGTTTTGGCATTGTAGTATTTTTTCTTCATAAATAATTACTCTAGCATATATTTAAAAGTTAAAATTATGGAAGGAGGGGGACCAAAGAAACCCAGAATTATCTTGGAGGGCAAGTGTCTTGTAGTACAGGCTTCCCCAACAGGTGAGTGTTCTAGTGATCATCTGAATCAGTATACCAGCTGGTGGTGTTGCGAGAGGCTGTGTTCGGCTTCAGTGAATTTTTTTCAAGGCTCAATCAACACATTTGCCCATTTCATGATGGGTGATTTAACGAGGCCACCTGCCCACACTGTGCTGAGTATTCAGAAGTTTTTGACCAAAAATGGCATGACCCCTATGCCCACCCTCCCTACTCACACAATCTTGCCCCGAGAAAGTTCCCTATCACACCCCACCCCCAATGAAAAAAATTCTCAAAGGAAAACATTTTGCTGATGTGGAAGAAGTGAAACAAAAAATGGCAGAATCACTAAAAGTTACCAAAATCAACAAGTTCAAAAACTGTTGTGAGCAGTGGGAAAAAATGTCTCAATAGGTATGCTGCATCAAATGGAGAGTAATTTCAAGGTGATTGAAGTTTAAACAATAAATACACAATTTTTATAAATTCCATTTTTTTGGAGTCCCTCCTCAGATTATCCCTCCTCCTATTAACCGTTGACAAAAAGCCACACAAAATTTACTTTCTTCCATCAGAGAGAAGTTTAATTGATATGTCTTTCTCCCCAGATATTTAACCAAAACTTAAACCAGTTTATGCTGGTTATTTTTTAAAAGACCTAAGCAATTTGCTAAAAACAGCAATTACATCTATTAAAAAGTCATTTTATCTTCATGTACCAGAGCAAAAAATTTCTAAGGATAAGGAAGGCTACTAAATCATCACTCATATAAATTCTGAACATTTACTAAAATCTAGAAGAAACATTTTTTTTCAGCCTAAGGTAAAATCTTTATATCGTATCAAAGATCTTTACGAAGGAACAAAAATCAAGTCATTCTTAAACCCTTCTGCCCTCAAAGACACAGACTGTGTTTTTTCTTTTCTTGAATTCCAAGTTCTGGATGTAATAAAAGTACTTAGTGCATATCTGTCCTGGCTGCTGTGGCTCAGTGGATTAAGTGCCAGCCTGTAAACCAAAAGCTCGCCTGTAAAACAATCTGGTTGGATTCCCAGTGAGGGCACATGCCTGGGTTGTAGACCAGGTCCCCAGTAGGGGGGCGCTTGAGAGGCAACCACACACTGATGTTTCCCTCCCTCTTTTTCTCCCTTCTTTAACCCTCTCTAAAAATAAAAATTATAAAACTTTATAAAAAGTACTTAGTGAATACCTAATAACAGTGAAAATGGTACAAAACTTTTAAATATAACTTTCAAAAATATTCTACATGCCATCCACTCTTTCTTTTCCACCCTCATTCATTTGGGTCTAAAAGAAAGACCCAAATTTGTTAAGTCTAACTTGGGATAAAATTTTAACATAGTTTACTGTCTAAAACCATACCAACCCATAATTAGTATCCTAACACAAGTGCCTGCAATCACTATCCACTACATCAATTCATTTCAATCAATGAATGTCCACTAAAGATCACCTCCAAACTATAGTCTATTACATAACTCAAAAATAATTTATCAGAAACAGTGATATGACAAGCCATAAAGAAACCTTATTGCTAGAACATAGGAATTAAAAAGGTACTTATTAATTATGACTGAAGATGAACAATACTTACTTTAAATATTTAGATAAGTCATCATTTAATTCTTTAGGGATGTAATCAGATATCAGACCACAGGCATAACAAATATAGTCCTCTGAAATAGAATAAAGAATGAAGGAAAAAATAGTAATAATTATGACAGATTTAGAGTCAACCAAAGTTCAGATTCTGGCTCTATCTTGCCTTGGAAACTCAAGCTTCTCATCCATTTGCTCATTTATAAAATGGGGATGCTAATATTACCAAAGTATTGAAGTGATATGATAGATGACAATATGAGACTATCAAAGATATGATCATATAATACAACACAGTAGATGACCACTAAATGATAGTTAAAACCAAAAATGCAGGGTTCTTTTCTTAGTTGAGGCCCTTGAATACAAATAAAGTTCAAAAACCAGCTGTAACAATCTGAGATATTCATGTCCTTTGAAAAAGACTAATTGTTTCTAGGACTGTTTCAAAATAGAAAAAATCTAATTATCAAATAATAATGAATATGCTCATTTAGGAGAAATAATGCCTATCAAGTTCTTGCTATACCATGTCCTGAACATTATATATATCCAAACTAATAAAATGCTTTAATATGTAAAAAATTAAACTCAGTAGAGTGTATAATCACTAATTCAAAAGCATCTGGATCCTTAGTACTGAGTATTAATTAAACACAGTTATATAAAACAATGATCTGTTTTAAATCCCTGTTCCTTAATTCAGTATTTTAGGCAGAATAGTAGGAGATAATCAAATTTAATCATAAAATGAGATAATCACATGAGATTATAAAGTATCAATAATAACAATCCCAGGTTTGTTGCTGGGATATTTATTTGTTTCTCTTTTTTTCTTCCTCTTCTGCCTTCAAGTTAAGATAACAATTTGCCTCAGTATTTTTTTTTTTTTTAAAGACTTATTTTTGCCTTGGCTGGGTAGCTCAGTTGGCTGGAGAACCCTCCCATGCACCAGGAGGTTGCAGGTTTCATTTCTGGAAAGGGCACATATGTAGGTTGCATGTTCGAGCCCCCATTGTGGCCTTATGGGAGGCAAGCAATCTCTCTCTCTCTCTCTAAAATCAATGAACATATCCTCAGGTGAGGATTAAAAATGAAAGAAGGCAGGAAGGAAGAAAAGAAAAAAGGGAGGGAGGAAAGAAAAGACAGAAAAGGAAAAAAGAAAAGAAAGGGAAGGGAAGGAAGTAAGCAAGGAAGGCAGGGAGGGAGGGAAGGAGGAAGGGAGGAAGAAGCTTAGTTTTACCATTTACTAGTGGTGAGAGTTTGAACACAACCTCAAGAATCTCATTGTAAAATGAGATTCACTGGGGTCAGGTGAGATAATGTGTGTACACTCACAGTTTTTAGTAAAAGGCTTGGCACACAACATACCCTCACAAATGAAAGCCAGAGTTCTTACTCTTGTTATTATTAGTGCAAAATAAATATTTGCTCAATGAATGGTTTAACTATCAATTAGTGACAGAAGTGACAGAAATATTACTTGGTTCGGAAAAAAATGCACACCTGCCACAAGGCGAGAAGACAATGACAACAATGTGAGGCTTCTGAGACATTAAGATTTTAAAATAATATAACAGGCATTTATACATAAGCAACATACTCTAGACAAAAATCACTTAAGAGATTATTCACTTACCTTCTTTGTCACTGGAAATCTGGTGCCTGGGGAAAAAAGCAGCTGACTGTACCCGACAGTGCACATTTATGTTGTTGGTTTTTAATGCTGCCATAGTCTGATTAACCTATGAAATAACCAAAAGGGAATTATTAGGCTATTTTAAACTAACCCTACAAATCCACAACTTTCCAGAGAGTCCTCAATGCATTTAATATTCAGGAAGAATTATTTCTTCAGCAGATATCAGAAGATGACAGGTGGCTGCACATTTGGATAAAGTCTGAGCAGCAGCTATAGCATTTCTGGATAATCTCAACACACGGACTTCCTAATGGCTACACAATTTGAGAGTACTGACTCTGGAATTGGTCTGCTTGGATTTGCTCTGTGACCATGGGCTAATTACTTAACCTCTCAGTGAAATGGGGATAAAAATGCTACCTACCTCAGAGGATTGTATGAAGATTACATGAGTTAATATACAAGGTGGGACAAAAGTAGGTTTACAGTTGATCATATGGAAAATGTTACAGTAATAATAATACAAGAATAAACTCTGTGTTTTGTGTACTCACAACTGTAAACCTACTTTTCCCCCATCCTATAATATAAGGCCCTTAGAACAGAACCTGGCATAAAGTTTATATGTAATAATTTTCTAAACAAAATAATGTAAATTTACCAAATCCTAGAGATTTAAGAAAGAAAACCCAATAAACGTAAACTTCACTTTGCTATTCATGTCATTATCATTTGCTAAGGGTAAAAACTAAATGTCAGTATTCTGTTCAGTACATACACTCATTCTTCGCCTACAAAGACTAATACTAAGGTGAATGAAAAGTGAAACATGGGGTCCCTTTTAAAGTCTTTTCACTACTGTGTACAGTAGGAGCTTAATTCTACAAGGTTCGTTTCCATGCTCCCAGGCTTCTAATGTGCCCAGTAACATATGACATACAAACACATTTTTCATAAAATTAAATAAGAGAATCCTAGAAATCAGTAGCGTAGCTACTGGTATCACTGATTTGCAAAAACTTTTGTCAGCTATATACCTCTCCTAGTGAGAGTCTTAATCAATGTGAAAATACTATATCCTTAGACCAATGGTTTTCAAAGTATTCTTTGTGTTGTTCTTTTTTTAGCTACAGTCCACAGTAAGAAATATAGAGCAAGTCAATACTGAAACATATATAAAGATGTTTTACAGAGCCATACTTAATACTTGCTCTTCCTCTGTTAAATTTTCATATATCCTATCCTATCCTATCCTATCCTATCCTATTCTATCCATCATATCCTGTTCAATCTCATTAAAAGATAAATACTATTTGTAACTTACTAAATCAATTTGAAAACACCGCCAGAACTTATATACAGTCTACTTCTTAGGGTCACTAAGGTACAGGATGTGCCTGGAAGATGATCTCTCTTCAGTATCCAGACACAGAGTAGGACACACTGCCTCTAAGCCTGAATCCAGTCTGTCTCAGGCCCTTGCCTGGCTGTGTGTGAGCAACATTCAACTGTGAGACACCTGCAGGACCAACCACAGCAAATGCACATCAAGCCTGGAAAATTCAAATGTACACCAACAAAGAGTAAGGACTTCCTTCATTCAGTGGTAAAGACCACAAGGAAATGAGGATGCAGGTCAAAAAAAAAAAAAAGAAAAAGAAAAACTATATCTAGCAAACTCCAGAGACACACAAATTTAGGATGATGAAAAGGAAAAGGTTTCTTTTTGTATCGGGTATCTTTATACAGTTTTCCTCCCTTAGTTGGAAATACAAGATAGTCTCTGGATTAAGACTTAACAAATTCTTTAGAATTTTAAAAAGGAACATTGAAATTTTTTGCCATAGGCACTGGAGAGGTACTATACCTTTTTTCCCAGCCACTTTAATGTCTTCTCTTTGCTGTACTTGTAATATTTCTTTTTGTCTATTTCTGGATTAAATGAAAAGAAAGAAAAAGACTGAGCTCAGTAAGCTCATAAGGTTATACCATATACAAGATAATTTTAAAATTTTAAATATTTTAAATTGAAAAACTTAAAGTGTAAACCTGAGAGTACACTTGAGACATTAACAAATTCAAAAACAGAATTTGGGTACCTCAGGTTTCACCTAACCATTAAATGAGTGGGAATTTAAGCAAATCATCAGATTATACAAACAAACATGTAGAAAAGGTAATTTTTAAATAGAAAATTAACAAGCAAAGAAAATTTCATTTTTCTACATAACTTTAAGCTCACCTCAATGTTTTCAATGAAAGACTACTTTTCTAAAATAAAAATGAAAATTCCAGAAAAGAAAATTGAAATTAAATGTAGATGCCTAAGAACTTCATACCATAAAATATATATATTTAACTACTCAGTGCTGTCATGGTGGGATTAGTGAAGAAAAAAGATAGGCTTTATACATAAGCAATATACTCCATACAGAAATCATTTCTGATGAAATTATTTACTTTTTTTTCTTTCACAGTATTATAGTATAACCATTACTATTTCAGGGTAATAGATTTATGATATACTCAACCTGGCCCTTTTATAGGGATAAAAATTTCATAAATTATGAATTATGAATTCATACTTATAAATTATACTTCCTATTCTCAAAATCCTCCTACTATGTCAATGAACCACTTTCCTCAGTTAACACTTCATTCAGGGGGTTTCTTGGTTTCTGTACAATCACTGGAGGTGGCACTTCCACTACCAGCTTCCTATTTCCACACAGGAGTTATCCTGTAACCACTGGAAATCCTAAAGGCAGATGCAAACACTCACATATGACTCTGTGAGCCATCCTAGATTATACAGAATGACATTTTCTCTTTCTCCCTTCTGTAATAGTAGTGGGAAATGGAAACAGCTTATTCAGGGATCATTTCTCTGCAGTCTGTTAAACTGTTGAGTTCACTAAATGGTTTGCATGGAAGAGAGGCTGACAGGTCCCTGACCCTATCCTCTGTACATTTCCTCCCCATTTCAGCCTGTGGCTGTCAACGTTGTGGGCAATGGAAGGTAAGTTGGAGTGATTGCTGGACCTATGCACCTCATTCATCAGGACCTGCCACTAAATAACAAAAAGGAGACACTTTTGCAAATGGCATCCTGTCAGAAGTTTGAGAATTCCAAGGTGCGAGGTCTGCTATCTCTTGGACTGCCTAGGCAAACAGCCTGCTGCAGAACATGGCAGAGGAAACTGGACTCAAAATCCCTGGAGACAATGTCCCACTCCACATACATCTGGGGAATTCTAAGAGCATTCAGCAATCACTCAAAAAAAATGTACACTGTTCAATGGATTTTTATAAGTGCTGTTCACTGAATGGGCAAAGGACCTGAGTAGACACTTTTCCAAGGAGGACATCAGATGGCCCATAGACATACGAAAAGATACTCAGCATCACTAGCCATCAGAGAGGTGCAAATTAAAACCACAATGAGACACCACCACACACCTGTCAGAATGGCTATCATTAATCAATCAACAAACATCAGGTGCTGGAGAGGCTGTGGAGAAAAGAGAATCCTACTACACTGTTGGCGGCATGTAGACTGGTGCAGCTAACTGTGGAAAACAGTATGGAATTTCTTCAAATAACTAAAATCAAACTGCCTTTTGACCCAGCAATTCCACTGCTGGGAATGTACCCTAAGAATCCTGAAACACCAGTTCAATAGGACTTACACACCCCTATGTTCACAGCAGCACTACTTATCATAGCCAAGTGTTGGAAAAAGCCAAAGTGCCCACCACTAGGTGAGTGGATCAAAAAACTGTGGTACATTTACACAATGGAATACTACGCAGCAGAGAGAAAAAAGGAACTCCTACCTTTTGCGAAAGCATGGACGGAACTGGGGGATATGCTAAGTGAAATAAGCCAGTTGCTGAAAGACAAGTATCATATGCTCTCACTTAAAAGAGGAATCTAATGAACAAAATAAACTAACAAGCCAAATAGGACCAGAGACACAGAAACATTGAACAGACTGACAGAGGGGAGGGAGGAGGATAATAATGGTAGAAAGAAGGCAGAGCCTAGTCAAAGAACATGTATAAATGACCCATGGACATGGACAAAGGTGTGGGGATTGACTGTGGGAATGGGGGGGTGGGTTGGGAAGAGGAGGGCAAAGGTGGAAAAACTGGGACAACTGTAATAGAATAACAATAAAAAAATTTAAAAAATAAAAGAAGTGCTGTTCATTACCTAAGACAAATAATCTCCAAAGGAGCTCAGATCTCTCCTAGGAAATCCTGCCTTGACTACTCACTTCCCTCTTGTCTCTACCTCTAAATTCCCTGAAATAACATTCTATAGTCTGCCAGTTTCCTTCTCTCCCACTCCCTGAGCTTCTTGCAAGCTACTCCTTTCCCTCTTGAAAATACTCTGTCAGAAGAAGAGACACAGGCTTTGAACCACACTTCTTTGATTCCTATATACACACAGTGTATGATGTCACCTTGGGAAGTCACTATTAAATGGGATGATCGATACAAATCCGATAGCATGACACCACGATACCTGGCACATTACAAATACTTAGTTAAGAAGAAATGAGAATGAACATGTTTACAATAATAGCATCAGAAACTAATACACTTTCAGGCTTGTGCTACATTCTTTATACACATTTTCTCACTGAATGTTCATAATGAATGGCTGATGAAAAGCATTATCTGTTGCCATCCTAAAGGACTGGGTGTGAGTAAAGTTCAATAAATTGTCCAAAGTCACTGTGCTAGTAAATAGGATCAGTGGGATTCCTTCTCAGGCTGATTGCAAAGCTGTGGATCTGATGTTCATTTTACGAAAGTTAATTAGCTATTCATCTGCCTCAGTACTTCTGACTCTGTTATTTGTGGGTAAAATGTCTCCTCCATGGTTTGGTAAAACCTTTCTCTCAGTTTTCCTGTATCTCTAATGACTTTCTCAGAGTTCTTTCTAGCTCTACCTTTTCCTCCTCTGCGGCCAATCCTATGTTTCTCCTGGGGTGACTTCATCCTGTCTCAACAAGACTAAAGAAATCCAATTAAGAAGCCCACAGCCCTGAGGCAAGGGCCTCTGTGCCTAAAGCCAAACTTTTCACCTCCTCCCAAACTGCCCTCTTAGATGCCCAGGCCTAAATCTAAGAGTCATTACTCACTCCTGCCTTGCTCCCCATATTCCATTGCTGGACTCCACATGAGATGGGGAAGGGCCAACATCATCTTGTAGGGGACAATGTGGGAGGAAAAAAAGCAAATAAATCTGTGTCAGAAATCAGGAGGCTTATATTTTTGTGATGGAAAAGTAACCAGTTCACTTTTTTAATCAAGTTTATTTAGTAATAATGTTCATATGATAAACCCTTATTTAGTGTACAATTTTCAGAGTATGGACAAATGTATACTCATGTAACCACTGCCCAGAAAGTTCCTTAAGCCCTTTTGGCGTCGATTCTCCCATCCCTACCTAGACCTCAGGGGACCACTGATCTGCTATCATTACAGCTTAGTTTTTACTTTATTCTAGAACTTCATAGAAATGGAATCACACAGTGTATACTTTTTTGTGACCACCCTTCTTTGCTCAACATCATTTCTTTGAGATTCTTCCATTCTGTTGCAGTTAGCAATAGTTTCTTACTTTGTATTATGGAGTAATATCCTGTGTATGTATTCCCACATTTTGTTTACCCACACACCTACTAAAAAACATTTAGGTTGTTTCCAGTTTTTAGTTATTTTGAAAAAGTTGCTCTGAAATCAAAAGGCTGTTCTGAGTATTCTTGTGTAAGTCTTTGCACAGATCTATGTTGTAAGTCCTGTATAAATATCTAGGAAGACAATTACTGAGTCATAAAAATTTTCCAAGTAGTATATCATTTTATGCTTCCACTAGCCACGTAGGGGAGTCTCAACTGTTCCACAACTTATCATCTGCCACTTTCTTCTAGCCACTCTTATGGATACTAATGATATTTCCTTGTGGTTTTAATTTACATCTCCCTGGTGACTAATTATATTGAACAGCTTTTCATGGGCTTATTGAACTATTCATAATCTTTCCGGAAGTGTCTGTTCCAACTGCTTGCTGATTTTTTACTGGGTTGTATAGCATCTTATTATTGTGTTAACGGAGTTCTTTATATATTTGAGATACATATCTTTTATCAGATATAAGCCATGTAAATATTTTCTTCCAACGGTGGCTTTAACTTCTTTTTTTCTTAATGGTGTCTTTTAAAAAACAGAAGCTATTAATTTTGATGAAATGCAATTTATATATATTTTTTCATTTTATTTTGTATTGGCTTCAGGTGTACAGCTTAGTTGTTAAGACAATCATATACTTTACAGTGTTCCCCTCGATATTCGCAGATTCCAACTGGTACCATACGTAGTTACCGCAATGTTATATAGACTACAGAATTTTTTTTATGGTTAGTAGTTTTAGTGCCCTAAGAAACCTTTGCCTATCAACACAAAGATTTTCTGTTTTCTTTTTTAGAAGTTTAAGTTTTCATTTTTTCATCTGAGTTAGTGATCCATTTTGAGTTAATTCTTCTTCATGAATGTGAACAGAGGGGAGAGTCAACGTTAACTGTTTTTCATACAGAGATTCAATTTTTCCAGGCCATTTGTTGAAAAGACTATCCTTTTGCTCACTGAATTATCTTGATATTTTAAGTGTGGCTCTGCTTCTGGATTCTCTATTCTGTTCCATTTTTCTATAAATTTGTCCTTATATCAATGATATGCTTTCTTAATTATTTTAGCTTTAAAGTTAAAATCAGGTTGTGTAAGTTCTCCAACCTCTTTCTTCTTCAAAATTGTTTTGGCTAGTGTAAGTCCAATTTCTGCTAGGAGAAATGAATGTCATAACAATGTTGAGTTGCTTAATTCATAAATATGGTATATCTATTTTTTTAATTCTTCTTTAAT